CACACATCTGAATATTTGGGTTGAACTGTTCTGGAACAGTGTTGTAAATACAACTTAACCACTGATTTCTAGTCGTGTCCTCTTTTGGAAGGCCAAACAAAGTAGTTTCGCTTTCACAACGAAACACAGCGTCATACACGGCGGCCTTGAGTGAGTGGAGTGAGGTGAGTGAGGAACGGCCGGCGGGCTTGCGGCAACCACATGTGACAACTCCGGGCTGGACTCCGCTTCGTCCATGGTGAAAGCCGATACTGAATCACTTTTGTAACCTCAGTTTATATTTTATTTGTCTGTTGTTCAGCACTGACTACTGTAATGGGAACGTGCATCGGTGTATGTGATTATTTTGGAGATGCGTTCCAATTTAATTTATCCTTATTTAGGGTATAGGCCTATTCTATTTTGATCTGCAGTTTAATAAAAGTTCAACAGAAAAAAGACAAAAAGTAGCACTGCATGTATTTCTGAATATTTATTTAAACAGACTGTATAACGATGAAAAACCACAAACATGACGGGTATAATTAAAATACGCAAATTCCTTCAGCGCACATTTCAGTGCAATATTTTTGACAGATTTTTAAAACCGTGTATACAATATAATTATGTTTAATTAAGCTGAGCTATAGCACTATAAATTCTGAATTCATTTGCAACAAAACTATAAAGTTTTGTTGCAAACAGATGAAGACATTGGTAGGCTTCTCAGCTCGACCCTCAACATGCACGCGTTCGGAGTTACGGCAGCCCAACACTGAATATTATATTGTTGGCATTGTTTTTTGATTAATAAAATAAAAATTATAAAAATTACAATACAAAAATGACATTTAAATAACCCTGCTTCTAAATAAATAAAGCAGTTATTTTTATTTAGTTAAAAACGGGCCAAAAGAGACCTCCGAACTAGTAGGCTACCAGAAAGGGAAAAAAAACAACTTCACGTTTTTAATCCCTGCATGATTTTAGTCATACATGATAAATATCAAATATGTTATAGCTTGACTACAAGTTTAAAAATAACGCTGCAATTGTTATAATTAAGGAAATTAAACTTACCATCATGAAATGTGTCTACACAGGCGATAATGCCAAAAAGAAAGAGAAACATCGGGAAATAGGCATATTTTATTCAAGACATTATTATATGACATCAACATGAATTTATCATTTTTACAATCACCACCAGAATGTCCAACATCACCATGATGAACTTAAAATTGGGTTCAATTACTTTTCCTCAACAGTTCTCCTCACAAAACGAAATTCATTTTAAACACAAATTTGATAAGAACAGAGTGGAAATTATTAGCAAAACCAAAATAACAGCAAAGCTAATATTTTCTGTTAGTTTAAGCACAAACTAAGAAAACTAAAACCAAACTTTGTGGCAATAATTAAGACCAAACTGAACATGGTGTGTGTTTATGGTGCATGTCGGCAATGTTGTCTCGGTGGGGGTGGGGCGTGGTGGAGGTGGGGCTTAGGTAGACAATATTAGGTAGACGATATTTTTAAAGGCGATTATCGATAAGATATTTTTGACATATCGCCCAGCCCTAATCTCTATGGTTGTTTTCAGAATGTAATACTAAATGGAATAATAACATTATTATTTACTGTATACTGTATATTTTTTAAACATTGAATTAGTATGCATTACACAATGGTAAACATTTTAAACTGTAGTATGCTACACTGGTGTCACATGACCTCACGATGTCACATTTTATTCAGCAAGTGGCAAGTTATTTTGAAAATGTGAATAGATGTTAATATAATTTTTTAATATAGAATTTTGTCTTTTGGCAGTTCGATCAGTCCAATTTAACAAATAATAATAATAATAATAATTTAATAAAAAATAAGTTAAAAACAGCTGATATAATCTCTCTCTCTCTCTCTATAGCTGTGTCTCATTTAGAAGGCTGCACCCTCCGGAGGTCGAATCCTCTGGAGGTCGCAACCTCTGTAGGATGCATATACGAAGTGTCCTCAACCTAGAATTCAATGAGACGGCCTTCGTAGGACAGGCGGAAAAGGAAACCGGAAGTATCACGTTGCTATGCCAACACATTTAGAGCATCGTTGCGCTCTCACACTACTTAAATGAAGGAAAATTATTTATAAATTTGGAAAGTAATTTGAAAAAAAAAATGCTTTTACTTGTTTTATTTTGTTCAATGTTTGAGGAGCTGCAGCGTACGTACAGCAGGCATCTATTAGAGAAAAAAAGGAGGAGGATATTAAAAACAAAGTTTATCCGTTTTTA